CATGAGCAAAATGTGACTTGAAAACTGCCAAAACTCACTCAAACTTGCGTTTCAAGGCTCTAATCAACCCAGGAAAGTTTGTTAATCATGTTTAGATTGAATTTGTGGCTTAATTTGGTAATTAGAGGCCAATTTAAACTAATTCAATTCTGACTTGAAGTGGATTTTCAGCTTTGAAATTCAATTTTTGCCACCATGGTTCTCACAATGTAGAAGGCTTTATGAGATGATTCTTCTTGCATTGGATAGAGGATGATACAATCTTTGTAATGTGAAAAGAAAGTATTGACTTGGAAATATGAGTTGAGAGATATGATCCTTCAAAATAACTTGCATGAAAAGGTTCAAAATTGCAAAACACTTAGAAGAATTTCAAGTCTTTTTAGGGACGAAAAGTGACCTATAATATTTTCATTACAAAACAAGACCTTCCATAGGATTTTAGCACTTCCACCTTGAATAAAAGTTGTAGAGGACATCTTCAAGTTCATTTTAGAAAAAGAATGGGATCCAAATGATAAAAATTGACCAAGTTATGACCTTTTGAAGTTGACTAGCAAATCCTTCCAAAACTCAAAATGACCTATAACGTCTTCAAGCTTATGATGACTTTCCAAGCATAATTGGATCTTTCCTTGAAAAGAAAACTTATTGGGGATGATGAGAAGAGTTCATTAGAAAAATAACCACCTCAAGATGTTGAAAGTTGAATAATTTATGCCATTTGATTATAGCATCCATAAATTGCTAAATTAGGTCAAACACCTTGAACCAACTTTGAATCTCTTGATTGCTTCTTGCAAAAAAATCCATGGTGAATCACATATGATCTTGAAATTATGTTGCCTTGAATCATACTTGAGGATTAAGGGCCCTTGAGAGCTTGATAATACCATAAAGTCAAGAAGAAAACCTTACTTGAGGTTGAAGAAACATGCTCCTCCTATCTTGAGAAACAAGTCATGATGCCTTAATCCTTTGTCAAGAACAATGCTATGCAAAAATGAATATGATAATGCAATGAAACATAAGCTATGATCCAAGAGAAAAGATGGGCAAATTTTGGGGTGCTACACTATCTAATACCAACTGAACGGTTTGAGCTCATTCATTAAAGTTATTCCCATTCATTTTAGAAATATTAACTTTGAGAGAGTATGAGGAACCCTCTTTATCATTGCCCCCTATGTTGGAAAAATTGTCACAAAAAACAATGTTGTTCCTATTTCCATTGTCGTTGTCATTACTGCCACTGCTTGTGACCACCGACGTTTCCTCTTGTATGCCATCTCCGTAACCACCTCCATTTCTGGGACCACCGTTGTCTCCTCTGCCGCCTCCATTTCCGCGGTTGATGCCTGACTTAGGTTGTGGTTGTTCACCATTATTCGATCGATGTAAGCATGTTTTGAGGAAGGCCACTTATTATTGTTATTCGCCATAGGGGATAAACGGGTATGTGAAGCGGGTCGGATAAAAAAGCGGGATGAATAAAGCTTAACAGTAAACTCTAACCTAGTTCTCTTTATACAAATTGAAGAAAATAGGTCAAAGTTTTTGTGTTTTATTCCTCAGCTAAAGGCTGGTTTATATAATGAGAATACAATTAATACACTTAATTCTCTCCTTAATGGAGAATAAAAGAAATATTTTCCAACAAATTTGATGAGAAAAATTAAGAAATTTTATTTTAAGGGGTTTAATCAGATTTTTCGGATTATTTCAACCTTAAAATAATTTTACCTCTTTTATCAAGAAATCTTGATAAATATTTCTCAAGAGAAAAGACACCAATTGGTGTATCCTCCTCTACGCATCTTTGGATGCGAAAGTTGGTAAAGCCACAAAATAAATAGGTCCATTATAGACATACTCATTTAAACTAATCACTAAGGATCACATACTTTGATATATTCTCAAAGAAATGCTTTGATCATAATTGTTGACATTTTTCTATCATCTTCGAGACCAGAGACTTTATTAATATTGTATACTTTCCAAGTATATTTTTTCTTTGTAAAACTTGTAATAATAATCGTCAAAAGTTCCAAGCTGCAGAGCATACTTGCAAAACATCAAGGTTTCACATATGGTGCTCATATCTTCTTGGGCCTAGGTGCATTATTCATAGAGGATCTAAGGTGGTTACCTTTAGATCCTTTCAATTTAGAAAAACAAAAGAGTTTTGGGTGTTCTACTCTCTTACACTGTGTGCATTTAAAAATTAGATACTTATTGTTCTTTTGATATACACCTTTCCTAGGTTTTATATCCCTTTTAAATCATATTCCATTACTATTTAGGAAAGGCATTTTCACAAAGGTGTTTTCACAAAGTTCCTGATTCAAATCTGGTTCATTTTGTGATTCAAATCAAACCATTCAGAAGCATTCTTACAAAGTTCTTGATTTGAATTATACTTAACACTTGATTCGAACCAAGTCACTCAACATCTTAATTCAAGCCACACCTGATGGAGCGGAAAAATAGCAATTTGCTAGGCTAAAAAAGGAGCACTATCATGGGTCAACTCTATAATTTTATTCAGTAATGAAGGGTCTTAATAGTACAATGCTAAAATAGATGAAGCAAATACAATACAACTCAAATGCGAATAAAGTACAAACACGCAAACATTGAATGATAGACAAATTACAAATAAACACGTGAATGGATATATACACTCAAATTGACAAAACATCAAAACAAATTAATGATACAATATGTTAACATGACTGCACTTTCAAAACTGAACTTTGATGAGACATGGAAGACATCCTTGAAGGCTTCATAACCAGTTGTTGAAAGAAATACAATCCACTTGAATTACGAAAGTCTTCAAGTAAAGTGAGATTAGAAACCTAATATTTAATAAAACATTTATGAGAAATGAATTCAAATAAAACATTGTTATCTTTTGAAAACTTAGAGACTCGTAGCAGATTTCGTGTAATGCAAGGTACATGAAGAATGTCATTAAGAGAAAGTGTATATGATGGAAATGCATAGGAATAAACACAAGAGGAAGCTACATAATTGATTGTTAGAGACTGACCATTAGCTACAATGACTCGACAGTTACTTGAATATGATTTCTTAGTGCACAAGTAAGAAGAATTAGGTGTAAGATGGTGAGAAGCACCTAAATCAGCAAACAATGTTTGGCTTTCAAGGTCTCTGGGCAAGGAATATTCATGAGCAGTTGACATCATGGTCAATGCTTGAGAACTAGATGTAGAAGCTTCAAGTTTATTAGTAGACCCATTAAAAAAAATTATAGGGCCTTGGCATGTGCTTGTGTAGAAGTGAAATACTCATCAAATCTATGCCAACAATCAACTGCAACGTGACCATATTTTACACAAAGTTGGCATGTAGGTCTGTTTCCAAGTGAAGAGCGACCTATACCACGACCTCTACCACACTGCATTCGCCCACGACCTCAACTACTAAAGAAATTGTCATACACACCAATTGTTTGATGATTTGCATGCGCTACATTTGTTGAGATAGACGACACAACCAATTTCTGATGAAACTTATCAAGTTGAGCCTCTTGAACATAGAGAAGAGATTTCACATCATAAAGAGATTGAGGCTCAGTAATATCATACATTTGCATAAAAAATGGATTATATATCTACGGAAGACCATACAAAAATGAGTCAATTTGATCTTATTTAGAAACAATGTCTCCAACTGCAAGTAATGAATTTGCGATAACTTTAACACGTAGAACAAACTCAATAATTGAGCTATTTCCTTTCTTGATGGATTTCAGTTCAACACGAAGTTGAAGAACACGGGCTTTCATGTGTGCATTGAAATACTTGTAAATTATATCTCAAACTTCAAATGCATGTTTACACAAGAGAACACTAGGAAGCACATATTTTAGAAATAGTATATACAAAGTCATATGAAAATAATTTGATCTTGCACAATCCATTCTCCACACTCATCAGAAACTTTGCCTTTAGCTTTATCTTGTGTCGACTTAAACTTTTCTTCAGCTTTATCTTGTGTCGTCTTAAACTTTTGAGAAATTTGAGGGTTCACTACTACTTTATGTACTCTTTGAGCGAGAATGACACCCTCCACTTGTTGATTCGACAACAAATAGTTATTCTCTGGTAACTTGATCGATGGCTTTTGGACCAAAATGATATGATGAAGACGTATCAGAAGCAGGAATCACAAAGTTCAAAATCTAGATCATGCTACTAAGTAGTGCAGGTTGTGCAACTTGAGATGGTTCAGCCACGACGACTCAAGAAAGAAGCGATTATGTAACTGACTTCGGTTATGGTAGTTAGAGAGCAAAAGTGATCAGCTCGGCGAAGGATACCATGAAAGAAATGTTTTCATTGCATTCCATCTTCTTCAACTTTATACAACATAACTATTCTATTTATATAGTTGTACATGCATGGCTGTTTAGCTATGTTAGTTAAGATGCATTCATCCATGCATGATGACATCATATTACACACATGAGTTCATGTAAATGCTAATGATGTGATGATATATTTCTTGCATCGTAAGCTACTCTCCTAATAAATTAAAATAGAGAAGAATATGTAAAATCTAGTTGTCTTTCAAAAGTGGAGGGTTGGAGACTAAAGAGATTTTATCTTATAAACAATATATTATACATATGAATTTGCCAATTAAGTAATAACGCTAGCTAATGTGAAATTATTGTAATCAGATTCTGAAGAATGAGACCCCAACAAAATTTAAACATAATGTATTAAATTTATGGGTCTTTGAAAGATTAGGCAGGACCCGTGCTGATGACCTCTTTCAAAAAATTGCTGACTTCAAAACAGAAGCTAAAGGGAAAGAAAGAAAGTATTTGCAAACTGCAGCCCCATCTTGATGCCCCCACAAGAAAACCTTCTGAATGCTATCAAAAAATGCATCATGAGACGGAAGTCCGTGTTCCTTTCCAGTCTCGTGCTCACAAATTTCATCAGGTAAACGTCAGAATATTATGCTCAAATTCTTTCAAGATTGTCGGAAACAGTTTTCATTCTAGGCCTGACCTCAGGGTCTCCCTCGGTGCATGATAGTGCTACATGGAATACAGCAAGTACTTCTTTCTTGGCGTGAATTTCTTGAAGAAGTGATGGATCAACCATTTCGGATAAAGGGCTTTCTTGTTCAAACCCTTTCTTAACCCACCTTACTAAGTCAGGCACTTCCACAGAAGTTGATGCTCCTGGAGAAGAATCTGGGGATTTGCCAGTGAGCAATTCAAGTAATACAACACCAAATGAATACACATCCCATTTTTGGGTGGGTCTGCAGCCTGGTACTCTAGCTTCGGGGGCTTTATAGTTGTTGATTCTTTCTGTTTGTGATGACTTCAAGTAAGGAAGAGCTCCACCCATAAAACCGCCGGTGGAGGGATTGTTGCCGGTGATGCTGATCAGCCGGTTAAGACCGAAATCAGAAATGAGGGGTTGGAAGTCTGCGTCAAGGAGGATATTGGAGGGTTTGAGGTCACCGTGAACAAATTTTCTTGGACTGCATTCATGGAGATAAGCTAAACCTCTGGCTGTTCCTTTGACTATTCTCAGCCTGATTGACCATGAAAGATTTGGAGATGGTTGCCCATTTCTCCCTGCAAAAACACTTGGAATTAAATGCGAACTATTTGCAGCAAAACAATTTATTGTAAAAATTATAAATCTACTAGAGTGCAAATGCTGATTACGAGTTATTTTTTGTTTCAGTTACATTTTATGATATTCATACATATAAAACTATACAGTATTCATGATCTCAAGAGATGTTACATGTAGCAATTCTCTTTTCTTTTATGAATAGTTTCAAACATAATAATCATGAATAGTTGGTTGGTCGGCGTATCTTACATCCTACATAACAGATTGCACTGTTGACTATTCTAAAAGTCAAAATTAAGTTATTATGTGTTTAGTATTATCTTCATAATATCCAAACATAAGTGTAGTAGAAGCAAAGGAGTGAGAAAACAGTTCTAGTAGGGCCTGCTTGAATCAAGAGATCGTGAAGCAGGTAGAGTGCTTTAAAAGCTAAAAAGCTAAGGATTGATGATGTAACAAAGAAAAGCAAGGCTTTCCACCATGACTCCAAGAACTAGGAAGCTCTAAAAAAGAACCAAAGCTAATAAAAAGTTAAACTTTAGCTGAATTGAATAAAGCCAAAAATGTGGCACAAACTTGTAATTTTTCAGACTACAATTAAATGATACTTTATATACAAAGCTACTTTAAATGATACTACTAATAAGGGTGTGTAAAACCGAAAAACTAGTAGTATAAAATATCCAAACAACTGCAAACAAAATTGAAGTCAAAAGACATAGCACTTTGGATCCTCTTCGGTCTCTCAAGTCAACTCTCAGTTTTTAAATTATTCTAACAGTTGAGCTTATTAATATTTTAACTGTTGGATTAATCCAACAACTGAGATTTTACAGCTTCATGATGCAGGAACATGGCTTACTGTGGTGTTTAATTGCAACTTTTGCGCCTATAAATTTGGTTTATTTAGTGGCCACATGTGGTGAGAATGAGATAAATACCTAGATAGAAGTTATGGTCCCAGACATGAATACCACTGCCATCTCATCTCCTATACACATGGCGAATGTCCTTATTTCTCTTTCAAAGGGCAGCTCATTGAAATATACAATAACACTGACAGTGTTGTCCTACCAAACAATTTTTCGATTCAATGCCATTACCAATAATAGGTAAGCATCTAATTAAGGTATTCACCTAGCCACACCCACATTCTCCCCTCAAATTTTAAAGGTAAAACTTTAGTAGTAATATAGTATAATTCTTCATTTCTACCAAGACAAATTGGAATTTAATATTGTGCATTTGTACCAGCTAACTAACCATCATGGTCCCATTGCACCACAAAACAATAAAGAAAATGACAATCATAAAAACAAAGAGACAATGGGAAAAGACATAACTCCAAATTCGATTTCTTTCTTTCATGAAAGCAAAATCTAGCATACTCAGTACAAATTTCTAAAACAAAAAAATTAAATTTATTATTAATTGTCTTGCTAGTTGCTACCCATTCATTCTACAAACTAGAAAAGACAAGAAAATTATTTTACTTTTGGCTGAAATTAAAGGACAAAATTTGACCAAATATCCATCAAACCTATATAAAATGAAATGCAAGTCCGCAATCCTCTAAATTAAATATCCTACAACCACTTCTTGAATCTAAAATGTTGGTAGAGTTTAATTGATATGCATCCAAATGCACCTCACTGAAGATAATTGTGAAATCATTTTAGGAATAATATAACAAACTGGTAGTATATTGATGAGATATTATTGAATGCATGTGTAGAAATAAATTCATATTGATAGTTTATAGCGGTATAACTCACATTGATAGTATATAACGGAGTACCAATTAAAATGATGTTGGTAGTGGTAGTACTACATTACCTAAGATTCCAATTTCACCATGTTATCATTAACTGTCATTCATTATTTTGTTACTAGTACTATTATTGAACTCTCGTTATCAATGAAATATTGCTCTCTTCCCACAAATTACTCTTACTCTGTTATGAACTCTATAGCACTAAGACCTTTGAAAAATGTGTGTTTATGTCAGCGTCAATGTCAGATACCGACACAGATACAACACCGACACTTGAGATTACGTTCAATTTATTCATTTTGTTAAATTATTACCAGTGTCAACGTGTCAGTGTCAGTGCCGGTGCCGTGTCTGTGTCGGTGATTTGGTGGTGAGAATAAAAGCGGAGGTTAAGCCTCTCATGAATGAATGCAACAAATGAAATCAATGACCCAAAAGGAAAGAGAGAAAGGGATACGTACATACAAACAAACATAACAAAAAAATGTAAAGGAATTGAACTAACCTCTAAGAGCATTAGCCAAATTGCCATTGGAGATGAAATCACTGATCAAAAGCTTTTCATCATGAGCCCAATAATAAGCTCTCAACTTCACAATATTAGGATGCTTCACTTTCCCAATGGCTTGAACTTCAGCAGCAAACTCCTTATACCTTTGTTCACCACCTTCTCCTAATCTCCTCACAGCCACAGGAATACCATTCCCAAGCACTACCTTATACACAATCCCTAACCCACTTTTCCCCAACACATATGCAGAAGCTCTTAATAACTCATCAAGTTCAAAGCTAAAACCTTTATCAATTGCCACCAATTCTCCTTCTCCTTCACCTTCCCCTCTACCACCACCTTCTCTTCCTCCTTTCTCACTCTCTTCGATATCCGAATCATCACTCTTAAACCCCTTAACACACCCTAAAGACAAACAAAAACAACAGAAACTTGATTTTTCATTGTTTCCATTACCACCAAATTTCCTCTTCAAAGTACAACTACACCCATTGGAGTTATCTTTCTTTTTCCAATACACATACACAACAAGAAGCCCAATCAAAGCTACTGCAGCAGCATCAGCTACTGTTATAATAATAATCAAACCGGGACTCAACCCTTTCTTAGACCGGTTCACATGTTGTCGAGCTGAACCAGGACTAGTCCCTGGTTCACTCGGAGCTGAACTGGAGCACTGTTTTTGCAGAGGAAACCCACATAGTTTCGGATTATTGAGAAACGCTGTGGGTCCCTGGTTCGAAAACGACCCCGTTTGAGGAATTTCTCCACTTAGATCGTTGCTACGAAGGTCGAAGCTAACCGTCACCGGCAATTTTCCTAAAGACTTCGGAACTTTACCTGATAAATGGTTGAATGAGAGGTTTAGGGTTCCGGTGAGGGAGTTAAGGTAGCCAATTTCGTCTGGAATCGAACCTTCCAGAAGATTCGCAGAAAGGTCCAGCTGAACTAGATTCTTAAGCTTCATCCACGGAGTTACCGGAATGTCGCCGGAGAAATTATTCCTCGCGAGAATAAGCCGCTGGAGTTGTGCACAGTTTCCGAGAGACCCCGGGATTGAGCCAGCGAGTGAATTTTGTGAGAGGTCAATGTTTTGGAGACGGGGAAGGTTGCAGATGGAAGGAGAGAGGTTACCGGAGAGGTTATTTCCGTGGAGGAAGATGCTGTGAAGAGAACTAGCATTGAAAAGCTGAACGGGAATAGAGCCATGGAAGAGGTTAGTATGGAGACTCAAACGACGGAGATAGATTAAATTTCCAAGCTCCGATGGGAGGTAGCCACGGAGGCCTTTCCCGGCGAGACCGACCCCGACCACGCGAGCTTCAGACTCACCGGAGATGTTTGCACAGCTAATGCCGGACCATTGACAAGGTGTGAGGTCGTCTTCGTTCCAGTCAGAAAATGCTGCTGCACCGTCGCCGTTGACTGCGGATTTGAGCGTTAGAAGAGCGAGGCCGTCGGAGGATAGAGAAACAACGGGATGAAAATATAAAAGAAGAGCAATGAAGAAAATGAAGAAAGTATGTATCATTGAGAATTCGCAGTACGACAGCTAGTGTTAGTTAGGGTGAGTAATCTACTGTAGGGTTCATTCAGTGTTTATGTTATGGAAAAGGATGAAGATGAGAATGAGGGGTGAGAAAGAAGGAAAGTGGGTGTATTTATTTATCACTAGAGTTGGGAAGATGGATTTTTAATTTGGTGGGGTCCATTTCGCGCCAAAAGAAGGACAGAGAGAAAGTGAGTGAAAATGAGTGAGGAGAGAATTTGTTAACGGAAAGAGTGAAGTGAAAGAGAAGAAAGGGGTTGCAATTTCTGTATTTGGATTAATGGGTTTGGTGTTCGGTTGAATTTCAAAGATTGAAATCATTTTGGATGAATGTGCTGAACTATAGTTGCTTCGTGGGGTCTTTTGTTAATGCTGGTTTATTTTTAGGTCTGTGATGGCAGATCCACGTGGAAATTAGAAGTATCAGTTGGGAAGTGAAGAGTGTTTGGTTGGATTTATTTTTGTTATATTTCAATCTATTTTATCAATAAATACTTTTCTTTTGTTTATGAGTGATGCATGTGAAAAATCATCGGTTGAAAGTTGGGAATTTCTTTTCCAACTTTTAAACTTTACAAGAAATTTTCTAAATCTACTAAAATATTTTTTTAGATTCCACACGTAGGATATTTTTTATTATTTAAAATTATGTATGACATGTGTAATTGTTGGCACTAATTCGAGTTAAATAGGATCATGTGATAAAATTTTCTCTCAAAAGAATTTAATATTGTTGCGTATTTATGGATGAATTCGAACTCAATATCTCAGAATAAACTGAAAGAGATCTCTTATCATCTCATTATAAAATAGAAGTGTGTTTTTGAGATATTTAAATTCTAAAATTCAATATTTTTTAAATATATGAACAAATAGTATGAATGAATTTGTCCAAGGTAGCATCTAACTCCACCAATCCTTTAGTATTATACCGAACAAATATCAAGAACATGGTTCTAACATCACCATCATTTTGGGTTTCATATTGGGAAATCGAACACGTTCATCATTATTGATTAACCACCCTTTTGTGTCGTAGTGGTTTATATGAATTCATTTGGTACATCTAGTGCTTCAAATCAGACAATGTAACATTGACATTGATACTAAATAAATAGGAAGAAGTCTCTTTGTTGTAGTAAATTGTTGTTAGGTTGGATTTTATTCTGACTAGAGTATGCATAAAAAGAGTTCATTGTTTTTCTGATGTGAACTGCAAATGAATCAAACACATTATTTTATACAAGTTTTTGTGCATTCTAGTTCACAAAAAGCATCACGGGAATAGAATGCACACAAGTTTGTTTTATACTAAGGGTCATCTCATTGCTCCTCATGTAGCTTGTGTGGAAGCATGTTTAGTAGGTTAAGGTCATGATGAATATGCTTTTGATGTTGACAACTAAACACAAGCATAACAAAGGGTCAAAGATGCAAGCAGACTAAGTAGGGTTTGATGAGTTTAATGATCACTACAAACATCCTCTAATGATGGAACCTAAATGGAACATAACTCAAGCCTCATCTCCAAGAAGAATTCAAGCAAGCATCTATAAGATTGAATTGTTTGACAGGTCTTGAAGCTTCAATATGTGAAAGCCCGCCTTGTTGCATCTGAGTGAACTGTATGTTATAGAAGCAAAAGGGCATTTTTGTAAAGTTACACGGCTAAATCACACACAAAAAAACATGTTTTCAAGCTTATTTTTCTCTAAGAATTATTCCTAAAAATATTTTGAAGTAGTGTCAATTCAATCAGAAACTGTCTAAATGATTCTGGACAAAATTTGCATTGTCCAATCAATTTCCACATATACCCAATCGATTGGGTCAGTGTAAAATTCGCCCTTAATCATTTAGGGCAATGTTGCGGTGGAAATAGGATCACAAACTATTAATGAGTTTGAATCGCAATTCAATTCACAACCGCTCTTTGATTTATCCGAAGGAAAAGGTCAAAAGAGGGAAAACCTATTTTGCATCGTAAACACAATGCGGGGAAAGATCTAGGGTTCGGGGGTTGGTTAAATTTAGGGAAGGTATTAGCACCCTAAACTTCTGTAGTACTCTACAGGAACCTTTTGTTCAGATGTTTACTATTTTGCTTTATTTATTCGCTTAAGGTATATGTACAAGGGATTAAAAGTGAGAAAAGAGACCTAAGGGGTTAATTCTAAGTTTACTCGGCAAGACATCGCATCTTGTGCCTACGTATCCTTACGGGAGTGGAATCAGAGTAATCGTAGTTCCCCTCAAAAGGGATGGTAGAGACTTCTTGACTGTGGTCAAGGTCTCAAGGGGAATAAACATGTCTTAAGGACACGCTTACGCGGAGTGTAGAAACTCCAAATCTCTACGTTGAAAATTGTTAAGTTGTAATTAGGGTTAAATTAGGTTAGGGATTCCCTTTTGCCTAGTTGCTGTTTTGTTTATGCAGCTTGTTATGCTTTGAGTTCTGTTGTACTGATGCTGTTTGTGGAATTTCAGGTGTTGGAATTTTTCGAAACCAAAGCGACTCAGACCTGCCGGCATCCGGGTCTGAGTCCAAATTTGCCTATGTTGCCTTATTCTCGTATCAGTTTGGAAATCCAATTGCGGCAAGAGCGAATCAGTCCCGCTTCTTTTATCACTTCTATCTCTCGGATGTCTCGCATGATAAGAACAGATACTATCCGATCTAACGCCAACGGCGCGGGTCGGTAACGGGGGTAGGACGCAGCTTCGGTTGTGCCACTCCCGGCACTCGATGATGACGCTGTTCTGAGAGTGTCGAAAACAAACTCTAACATTTTTCTATTCTGTTTTGCTTCTTTTTGATGTGCAGGTTGATCGGAGATTCGTGGAGAAACTCAAGGGACCTCATGAAGGACACTTAGGACTTTTTAGGACTTAGGATTTAGGATAGATGTACCATTTGTATTTTAATTCTACAGCAACTCAGAATGTAAAGTGATTCAACTCCTATTGTACCATGACATTCTTTATGAAATAAAAATTTCCAAAAGTTTCCATGATCATTCAACTTTGAAATTATTTATGTTTACTTCTAGTTATAAATTGCAAACATTTGTGAATAAGTCCACAAATATTCAAATTCATTATTCTAGTCATAAATCATAACTACTCGCGAATGATATTCTTGTTCATGCACGTGTCTCATCTGTAATCATAATCTCATCAATTGATTAAATTCCATTGCCTTCCAACTTAAATGCTAACCAACAATTTTATAACCAAAACATGGGTGCATGTCGTAATCACCACAGATTCAATATCCATGATACCCTTGCCCGTAATTGAATTCCACCGATCAAAGACTGTGAGCAACAATCCAATAATACCCCATTAAAACTGTGCCTTATTAACAGAAACGGAGGTGTGCCGGAAATAAGCCACGAGCAATAAAATAAGTCTTAAATCCAGTTGGGCCCGACAAATTTTAATACTGGCCACATCGAATTGACGCCTTGATATAATCAGACCTGGTGATAGATAAATGCCTCAAATGCCTCAAAATTTAGTAACAGCCCGTCTTCCACGTAAAATGACCAAAATACCCCTGGATCCAATCCTGCAAAACAAATACCTCCATGATTTGTTAGTGGTTAGCAAATGCACAGATGATATGATATGTGAAATGACCGACTAAATATGAGGGTAAAATTTGGGGTATTACAGTTGCCCCTATTTAAATAGCTACACCGGACGATTTGAGTGACAGAGACCCGAGGAATCGCGGTGGAGAGATTTAAATATAGATAACCGAAAATTTTGCCCTTATATGCGACGATATGCAATGCTATGGACAAAACGAGAACCAACTTAATGCCGATAATGCCATGAATATGATGTGATGCGTATGCTGGAATGATGAATGCGAAAATGCTGACGAATGCGACGACACAGGGACAGACGCTACGAGAAGAACACACTGGGGAAAATGACGCGCTGGGACACAGTACAACACTGGGGAACTCTAAAATGATGGTCAACTGGTGCGAATACGACCAATTGTCATTTTTAGATCTGGGATGAGATTCTCAAATGGAGATGGCACCTGTGAGACGGCCTCCACTGGGAATCTAAAAGTAAAACTGGATCAAGTACGATTGCAAGATCGATCACAGAATGCTGGAGCATTGAGCAAAGAATAACATCCAAGCTTCTGTAAACTATCCCTCGTGACAGGATCAAACGGACTTTTCGGGAATCCGTAGCAAATATACAGGGTAAAGACCGGCTGTATGCCAAAATAAATGGACTTTAATGGGAGATGCCCTGATAAGCTTCTCGAGGGAGAACTGTCACTTATCGTTGGAAGGGACTTATATGCCGAAATGGATAAGCACTCAAATAAAGAGGCTGCTGCTTATCTGATATATAAATTTTCTCATATTTAAGGTCGGCGCCTGGAATACGATTCTGATTCTTCTTTTACTACGGGATAAATGAACTTCTTCATACTTCAAGATCGTGCTCTCCTGAATATGAAAAGGGTGAACTGAACTTCCTCATACCTCAAGATCGTGCTCTCTTGGATATGATTCTGCTCCTAAAGGGTAAATGAACATCCTCACTCTTCAAGATCGTGCTCTCCTGAATATGATTCTGCTCCTTCTTTTACTAAAGGGTAAATGAACATCCTCATTCTTCAAGATCGTGCTCTCCTGAATATGATTCTGCTCCTTCTTTTACTAAAGGGTAAATGAACATCCTCATTCTTCAAGATCGTGCTCTCCTGAATATGATTCTGCTCCTTCTTTTACTAAAGGGTAAATGAACATCCTCATTCTTCAAGATCGTGCTCTCCTGAATATGATTCGGCTCCTTCTTTTACTAAAGGGTAAATGAACATCCTCATTCTTCAAGATCGTGCTCTCCTGAATATGATTCGGCTCCTTCTTTTACTAAAGGGTAAATGAACATCCTCATTCTTCAAGATCGTGCTCTCCTGAATATGATTCCGCTCAAACCTCCCCGTA